TTTAATTTTTGCTAGCGTGTTTCCCCATGGACTTATCCTGTGTAAGACCCTCTGCACGTCCTGGACTTGAGCGACTGTTTCCTTTCCCATGTTAGGGAAGTTTTCGACTCTAATTTTCAAATATTTTCTCAGGCCGTTTCTCTTCTTCTTCTGGAATCCCTACAAATCAAATGCTGCTGTTGCATTTAATGTTGTCACAGAGGTCTCTGAGACTGTCCTCATTTCCTTTCATTCTTTTTTCTTCATTCTGCTCTGCAGCAGTATTTCCACCATTCTATCTTCCAGCTCATTTATCCATTCTTCTGCTCAGTTAGTCTGTTATTGATTCCTTCCAGTGTATTTTTCATTTCAGTTATTGCATTGTTCATCCGTGATTATTCTTTAGTTCTTCTATGTCCTTGTTATCTTCTTGATCCATGCCTCTATTCTATTTCTGAGATCTTGGATCATCTTTATTATAATACTCTGAATTGTTTTTCAGTTAGATTGTCTATTTCCTCCCTTCATTTACTTGGTCCTCTGGGTTTTTACCTAGCTCCTTCATCTGCAATATTTTTTCTGTTATCTCAGTTTGTCTAACTTACTGTGCTTGCAGTCTCCTTTCTGATGGCTGTAGGGTCACAGTTTCTCTTGCTTCTGGTTTTTGTCCTCCAGTGGGTCAGTTTGGTCCAGGAGCTTGTGTAGGCTTCCTGGTGGGAGGGACCAGTGCCTGTGCTCCAGTAGGCAGGGCTGAGCCCTGTCACTCTGATGGTAAGGGTTACATTAGGGGGGTGTGTTTTGGGGTGTCTGTGAGCTTACTATGACTTTAAGCACCCTGTTTGTTGGTGGGTGGGACTGTGTTCCTATCTCGCTGGTTGTTTGGCTTGAGGTATCCAACACTGGAGTTTGCAAAAAATGAGTGGAGCTAAGTCTTGGTATCTAAGCTAACAGCTGTCTCTTCCCTAGGTCTGCCCGCCAAATCCCACTTTTCAGCACCCAGCCTCCCTCCACACCAGCAGACACACAACTCAGGCTGGGGTATGCAGGGTTGCACAGATCTTTTTCTGGCCTACCTTCCACAGACTGGTTGCTGGTTCCCCTCCGATCCTCTGAAGTTCCTTCTTTGTCCCAGCTCATTTCCCCAGAGTGAAGGGGAGTGTAGGAATGCCTCCTCATCCCTCAGCTCCCTGCCAGGGGTGCTGTTCCCTCCCTATTTCCTCTTTTCTTTCTTTCATCCTATTTGGTTATGTGGGGATTTTTCTTGTGCTTTTAGGTGTCCAGAGACTTCCGCTATTGTTCAGTAGGTACTCGGTGAGAACAGAGAACAGTTCCATTTGCAGATAAATTCTTGATGTACTTGTGAGGATAGGTGAATTCCAAATCCTCCTATTGTCCCATCTTGACTCCACCCCACCCAAAAATGTTTTGAGCACCTCCTCACTTTTGGCACAAAAAGATATTCAGACTCATCTTACACTTTTCACAAGTATAAGAAGAATTAGACATTTCTTCATGGAGTCCCTGCTCCTTTCAGTAGAAAATGGATTTCTGTTCAGTCGCTCAGTTGTGTCTGACTCTTTGTGACCCCACGGACTGTTTTGCAGAATCAGGGTCTTTTCCAATGAGTCAGTTCTTCACATCAGGTGGCCAAAGCATTAGAGCTTCAGCATCAGTCCTTCCAGTGAATATTCAGGACTGATTTCCTTTAGGATGAACTGGATGGATCTCCTTGTAGTCTAAGGGACTCTCAAGAGTCTTCTCCAACACCACAGTTCAAAAGCATCAATTCTTCAGCACTCAGCTTTCTTTATGGTGCAACTCTCACATCCATAATGACTACTGACGAAACCATAGCTTTGACTAGAAAATGGATTTAGGAACCAAGATTTCAGTATTTGGGTGTATGCTCACTGCTACTTGTGTGTAGTGGATACTTGTGTGTGCTCACTGCTACTCATATATAGTGGAAAATTGGGGGTGCTCACTGCTACTTGTGTACTGTGGACCCCAGACCCTTTCAGTGGATAGGGGCAAGGAATATCTCTCACACACACACAACCCACAGTACACAGTAGCATCTCCATTTTCTTTATCTATCACATATACTGAAAGCCATGGGTTCACACCAATGACTCTAATTTCAATCCAACACAGGAATAATTCTAGTTTCTTCTCTGTATATATTTTAACTATATTCTAGCCAAAGTGAAAAATGTTGCCTTTATTTCCTTAATATATTGACTTGCTTGTACGTAAGCAATCTTTTATCACTGTCCCTACCTCCCTCTCCATCTAGATATCCTTCTTACTTTGCTCAAATACTGACATCCAGTGCTAGGCCACCAATATCTGCCCCCCTCCCCTGGATCTCCCACCAACAAAAACGCCCTCCTTACCCCAGGGTCCATCACCCCAGTGCTGGGCCATTGCTGCTGTCCTCTTTCCTATGTGCCTCCTCTAGATCCCACAGAAGTTCTGACATCTGGTGCCCAAATAAAGCCAAGGCACTGTCACCACTGTCCCACATAAATAACTGCCTCATTGCTTAGCCTCCAACACCCTCAAACAGACTGCTCACTCTCTCTCTGGATCAGACACCCTCCTCACCCTCTGCCATCGCTTCTGCAGGGATGTCATCATTGCCTTATTCAGGGCCTGATAATCACTGTGTGTCAGTGACTCAAACAGACACCCTCATGATGTAGCTTAGACTCTGTCCTCCATGCTGAGCCATCATGGTCACTCCCCATGCCCTTAATTGAAGCCTACCTACCCTGTACAACTTTCTCAATGACTTCTGGACTTGGGGAAGAGTTGTTGTTTTGTTTTTTTTTAAATGAAAGCTCTTTCCACCTGTTCTAATCTGATAAGCCACACCCTGCAAATAATCAAGCCAGCTGCAAGCAGACTACCTATCTTCTGTGTCATAATTTCTTTAATCAGAAGAAATTCAATAAACAGAGTCTTTTGTATAAGGGAAACAGACTCTGCTAGAACAGATCACTGATCTCAGTTTCCAATATTCCAAGAGGCAGGGACCTTAACTGGGGCAAAGGCCCAGAGGACTGGTACACCAGTTTTACAGAGTAATAATCCTATCTCCCCTATGCATAGTTTGTACCCACCTAATATTTCCTGTATCCCAAGACATGTTTTTAAAAGTCTAGTAAGTTGTTTTTTTTTTTTTTTAATGACTGGAGCTTATATATGGTGGGGAAAAAAATGTGAGTTAAGTTCCAATTGTAAGACTGTTAAGAGCCTACATGTTATACAATTCTATTTACTAAAGACATTTTTCAGTTTTAAATGAAAAAAAAAAAACCAACAAATGTCTGACAAAAGTGAACCATGAACTGGAAATCAATGAACAGATCCAAGATGGCCTCAACTCATTCATCAAAGAGTAAACCACTTGTTTTATGACGGAATTCCCTGATACCTAAAGCATTCTTTCAGAATGAGTACAGTGATCCAGGGAGCCATTTCTATTAGTTATTTCTTCCATTTACTGTGGCCTCTGGAATACACTTGCCAATGAGTAAATCTAACTTAAAGATTTATCCATTATTCACACAATTTCTACCTTTTCTTCAAAAAATAGCATTTCCCAAAGTGTGTTCCAGGAAACACTGGTATCTCAGAATGTTGTTAATATTTGTCAAGGAATTAAAAGGTATGGGGCCAAATAAGTTGTGAATTTCTGGGTAATTTCTGGTAATTTCTCCACTGGAGGACTTTTCAGATTCTATGTTACAAGAATTTTAAGGAAACAAAAATGAGACACAGCTTCCCCTTTCCCTAACCCCACTATTACTCACCTATGGTACTCTTTTTGAATGGAGCATTTTTTAGAACTAATGTTCTGTAGACAATTAACATTTAATAATAATGTATCTCTTTAATTAAAACTCTTAGACCATTTACAAGAAAGGAAACTATAAGAAGCTAGATATATAGACAAATATTCAACTAACTAATAATCAAAGAAATGAAATTAAAACAATGAGAACTGTTCACTTGTCAAGGACACAATGAAGTCATCAAAAGCCAGTGATGTGAGTGTGGTAACTCAGGCACTCCTGTAGTTTGCCAGTAAACGGTATCTTTTACCCTTTACTGGCAAAATACAGGAGTACGATTCTTCTGGAAAGAAGCTTGGCAAATGCTTTAAAACATTTATGTCTACTAACCTTCAAATGGCCCATCTGAGATCCTCCTTTTAAGGAAACACTCCAAAATGAAGAAAATGTTTTATGTTCAAAGATGTTAATGGCTATACTTATAATAGTGAAAAAAAAAATCCCAAGTAATGAAAATTCCTAATAACAGAGAAATGTCTCAGTAAACCAAGGTACATGATACATGATATGCAGCCATGGAAAAGATTTACAGTGTTTTTATTATCATGGAATAAATGCTTCCATTATTGTAAGCCTAAATACAGTTCCAGTTGCCTCTTGACACCCACGGAAGATACTTCAGCATGTCACTTCTTCCAAAAGTACAGCGAGGTACAGCTGAACTTTTAAAGTGATTTTCAGACCCTTAAAAAAATTACTGTAAAACACAAGAAAGCCCTACTGAAATGGGACTGGGACACTGGGTTAGGTCACTTGCCAGTTAAGAGTTTTATTGACAAACCCTAACAATTCAAATTTGTGCCTCAGCGAAATTATTACTTAATACATATCATGAATTTTCAGAGCTGTTTGGGAATATGAGATGGTGAATATTAACTTTGAATGCTAATGGCCTATTTATTATGTATTTAATTCAAAAAGTAAAGGAAGAAAACATCCCAAAATGCTAGCAATATTTATGTGAAGTTGGGGGAAAGGTAGGGAGACATTAGAAGTGACTTTCTTTTCCTTCTTACTGCTTTCTGAATTTCCCAAACTTTCTATAATGGGAATGTGTTACTTTTTCAGTAAACGTTTTAGTGAAATACACAGCCCTATTATTTTTATAATCATAAAAGTTAAAGTTTACTTATTAAACAGAGTAAAATAGAAGGTAAATACCTGTCCTTTTGTCGTGTAATCTGCCAAGATGTTAAGTAGCTTATAAAATACTTCGAACCAGGGGAGATAGCTGAGGGAAGAAGAGGAAACACACGAACTATTAGTACACAGGTCAAAAACATTAATCAGGAGCTAATTCAAGACAGTACATTTCAGTTTCTCTTTATATCCTGAAGAGCCTTCCTGTTGTAGGCTGTGCTAGAAATGCAGACTGGTAAAATGCTAATTATTTCTGAGATTTAAAAAAACTGCCTGTGTAAGGCAGAGGATTGAATGTCCATTATAAACTATTCTCATGCCTCAGAGCTAGAACAGGTTCATAAAGAAGAAATTCAAAGCAGACTCTGCAATCAGGAACCATCTCTGAAGAGCCCCCCAGGCTCCTCCTACCACACCCACCCCTTCCAGGAAAGCTTCAAGTTTCTCATGATTGGATACACATAACCACACATACACTCACATACAGACACATACACAGCACTTTCACCACTGCCGTGTGCAAGTGTCCCAAGGGCCCCAAGAGCCTGAAACCATTCATCAAACTTTCCATTATAATACAGCCTTCTCTGTACTTGTTGCAGCAAGAGCTCTGACTCTCTGCCCCCACTGCCCCCCAGCAGAGCCTGACCATCATGTCCCTTAATTCTGACGAGAGCCTGGTCCTGACCTTAGTCCATCCTCTGTGTGGCTCACAGAGTGGTCTAAAATGTGAGTATAAGTGGCCCACTGGATTAAATTCCTGCAGTGGTGCCCCATCACTGCAGGACTTCTGAGGACAGCATTCAAGGCTCTTCGGTCAGGTCCTTGACCATCCTTCCAGTTGTCCCCACTTTGCACCCCCATATACACACTCCTCTCATTGCAATCGTACTCTGAGGAATGTCCAGGCGTTCTCAAGCCTTCCCGAGTCTGTGCTGCATACACTTGGCACTGTTCTCCCTCTGACCTTCATGATCTACTCTAGCTGACTTCTGCTCATCCTCCTAATAGTTCCCCACTGCTGCCCTGTCCCCGACTCTCAAGCCCAAATTCCCCCTTTTTCTGTACTCCCCTGTCACATGCAAACTATCGTTATAACAATCCACACACCATGTGGCACTCCAATGGTGTATCTGTCTTCCCAACAGATTAAACATGACAATAAGAAAGGATTCACATCCTTCTTTACTATGTCTTCCCAGGGCCAAGCACAGAGCCTGGTAGACCCTCAGTGCTCAGTGTTGATGGAACAAACAAAATCAGCAGAGGTGTATTAATGCTACAGAATTATTGCTGAAACAAATTCCTATTTCCAAGAAGTTTTTTCACTTAAAACATCAATGGCTTTGTTCTCCATAGGAAACTTTTCCAAAATGACATCAAACAGTCATGTGGGAAGAGTATCCTATCAAGCGCTTGCCGTCATGCTCACATCTGCCCTGCTGCGCTCATAGCGTCCATTACCAATAGAGTGGAGGACTGACTCCATCCCACCAGGCAGAAGGAAATCAGCGCCCCGGACAGATTACCAGCTGTACTGCTGAGGGTAATAAATGAAGTGAGAGCGAATAGAGAGGACAGATAAAGCGCACAGCTCTCTGTCATTAATGTCTGTCTGAAGCCAGCACATGCTACTGTAAAACTTAAGTAGCTTATCAAAATATACCGATAAGCAACTTAACTTTTCACTTCTCTGACAGTATTATCACTTATGTTAATATGCTTCAATCAGCTCTGGCAACTGCATATTGATTATTATAGAGCAAATGACTGCTGCCACTTTATACAGCATTTACTTTGGCAGAGTAATGTAAACATTCAAGAGGGATTAGGGAGGAGATAAGTTTCCCTCTTCCTATTCTGTTAAATAAACTTCTGCTGAGTTAAAAGCCATTACAGAATGAACAATAAATCCCCTCAGAAAAAAAACTCCTGCCCAGATTAGAAGACTCTCAGTAAACAAACTCAACCAAGGATTACAAATATCTTTTTTTTTTCCCTGAAAGAAAAAAATACCACTAGTTAAATCCAGCGGGAAGGGGTCGGGGGGAAGCGAGAAGAGAAAATAATTTCTTGTAAGGATACCACGGTTTCAAGTAAATGAGAGCAAAGTTGCAGTCATTTTAGAAAGACTTGAAGGGACTTGGGACAGTCCCTTCTGTCTGATAATTTAGGACTTCTCTGATAATTTAGGACTGTGGTGCACAGGAAGCAGTTCTGATCACTAGGTTCAACTGACTAACATAGTTTATGAGGATGCAGGAGGGTGACGTGCTACAGTCTCCTGGCCCACAGCCGACTGTGCCCAGGATCTCACACTCAACCTCGACCCCACCAAATCTATTCTTTTTGGCTACACTAAACAGAACCCTTAGCCATGGGGGGTTTTGCAGTTACCCTGGAAATCAGCCATCTCTCCCTCTCTTCAGCCTGACCGGACACAACTGTTCCCCACATGTTGTCCCCTGTGCACTGACAGATGAGTATCTAGTGATGGCAGTGTTAAGGTCTTGAAACCAAAACCCAGCTGTCTTCTTCTTCAAAGGACCCCTCTTTCCCCTGTTGGGAGGCCAGGGTTCACAGCTGAACTCTATCCAGTGGTGCTTCCTGTACTGCTTCATTAGCGCCGACACAACAGCTTCGAGCTGCCGGCAAGAGTGCAGGTGAGGATATGGAGACCCTCGGCCCCATTTTGTGTTCGTCTGTCAGCACGAAGTAAACACACTTCCCAGTCCAGAGATGGGAAACAAACACTCCACTGTGCTGCTCCTCCCTGGATAGCTAACGGACTTCCAAACATCACAGGGCTTGCTCAACTTGCTCCCCTCATGCAACTGCTCAAGTTTGCAATGCAGAGCATCACCATGTGTTGGGCTCAGTTCAAGGCTGGGGCCAAAAATCCCAAAGAGTCCCTGCATTCAAGAAGACCATGGTCCTTTGTGGGAAAAAGAGATAATAACAACAAGGCGTAATAGTTTAGGTGGGGTGCTGTATCTCTTTCCCAAGTGCTTTATTTAGCCTAGGCTTTTGGGTCCAATTATTAAATTACAAGGGAACGTTAAAACAACAACAACAACAAAAAGTCTCTCAGTCATATCTGACTCTTTGTGACCCCATAAGTAGACCAAGTAGAGTATACAGAATAATGACATGAGTTGAGAAAGTAAAAAATTTAAACCATGGTTATAGGGGAGGGCACACAATGGAGAGAATAGCTAGTTGCATCTGTTGGTAGGAGTCAATATGCATCACACAGAAAAGGTTGGGCTTCAGCTAAGTCTTGAAAGAGGCTGTTCTCAGTGTATGGGAAGAAGGTTGGAAGGGGTGGAGATAAAGAGCTCAGGAAAAACGCACGAGCAATGGCTTGCCAGCACAAACCTGGGCCTGACTTGAGAACTGTGTGCAGCTGGAATAGCCAGAGAGAAGGGTGTGCAGGCTGAAAGATGAGGCAGTGTGCAGAAGGGTCAGGCTCTGGAGGGGCTCTCATGTCAAACCCATGGGCCTCTCTTATTCTTTAATCGGTGGGGATCCATAGGGCCAGTTAAAGACAAGAAACATTTTGAAGATGAGTATTTAGAGCCAGGCAGAAAGTGCTTATTTCCCACTCAGCATAGCCCAGTGGATCATCTAAGCCCTACCAGAGTCAGTCCACTTTGCTACCCTAAAGAGAAAACCTTAGATAATACAATCTGGTAATACACATAATTTGAAAAAGATCAACAAAAAGATCAACATAAATAGAGCTCTGGAAAAAATGAAAACTATTTTATAATAAAAGGTTTAATATTTAAACACTCAGGCACCATTATATTAGGAGATAAAATGAAATAGTACCTCCTTGAGGGGCTCATGGCAGATGTGCAGCTGCTTGTGTTTAGAATGATGAGTTTAAGGCCAAGAAGACTGACATGCAATATGGTCTTTCAGTTTTTCTTGGTGATTGCCACTTGCCTGAGAAGCTCTTAAAACTCCAGCATGGGTACTCTAAGGGAGGTATCCCTTCTTTTCTTATTTCCCATCAGCAGATTTTGTCACCCAGGATTCACTGGATGACAAAACATCCCTTGGCTAAGGCTATTTGGCAATCAGTTTTTAAAGCTTTCATATTAACCACCCCCACCCTCAAAATTGAAAGCAGCAGAGCACGTGCGAAAACACAGACTCGAGTCGCCTCTGCATGAACCTCAGTAGTAACTGTGACACCTCAGGGCAGGGGTCTCTCAAAGACTCTGTTTCCTCTTCTATAAAAAGACATATACCATCTAACGAATGTAACCGATGTACACAAGAGACATCCAACCTGGGGCCTGGAATACTCTTCCTGTCCCTCTCTGCCTAACATTCTTAGTGTCTGCTTCAGAGGCTCCTCCAGGACTCTGTACACCTCATGCCCTGCAGCCACCAGAGCAGACAGCAAAGTACAAGCTGTTATTAAGAGGAAAATACTCACAAATGATATGACCACTTAAACCAGTAAGTCCCCACTCAGCCCTTCAAGTCTGACTAACATCTCTATCTATCCCACTGTTAGTGTCTTGGACGGTCCAACATCTACAAGAAAATGCAAATAAAACTACAACCTCTGCAAACAATGCAGAATTTCATGAAGCCCTTGTTAAGATGCAGGACACCTGCTCGGAGTCAAGGCAAAGTGACTAACAAATGAAGACCTGGCAGCATTAGACCAGGAAACAAGGGACGAGAGAAAAATCAAGAAAAACAAGGATGGTGGCACAAAAATCACATCAAAAGAAAATGAATTCAGTATCAAAGGGTTAAGACAGGCTTTGGGAAAACTGATGACATCTTCAAATACTTTTGGAAAAATGACTCCTTTTATGATTATGCTATGAAAGTCAAATATGATGTATTATTATGTCTGAAAAATCAAAAAACCTCCCCAAAAAGCCCACTTGACTCATTATTCTAAGATTTAATGTGTTGTTAGAATAAAAGCTAGACTTTGTCCAAATGAATTTATTTTCAAAGTTTATTTCTTTTTTTTTTCTAGATAAAATTTTAAAATAAATCTCCCTTCATTTTTACTATAAAGTTTTGGTTCCACTGAAATAGGTGCATTTTAGTCCCAGA